TGTCCCCAATGTGTCCCCAATGTCCCCAGGCCATCGTGGAGCGGTGGCTGTGGCAGCAGTGGGGGTTGTCCCTGGTGTCCCCAGGGATGTCCCCAATGTGTCCCCAATGTGTCCCCAATGTGTCCCCAGGCCATCGTGGAGCGCTGGCTGTGGCAGCACTGGGGGCTGGCCCCCGTGTCCCCAGGGCTGTCCCCAATGTCCCCACTGTCCCCAATGTCCCCAGGCCATCGTGGAGCGCTGGCTGTGGCAGCACTGGGGGCTGTCCCTGGTGTCCCCAATGTCCCCAATGTGTCCCCAATGTGTCCCCAATGTGTCCCCAATGTGTCCCCAATGTGTCCCCAATGTGTCCCCAATGTGTCCCCAATGTGTCCCCAATGTGTCCCCAATGTGTCCCCAATGTGTCCCCAATGTGTCCCCACTGTCCCCAGGCCATCGTGGAGCGCTGGCTGTGGCAGCAGCGCCGGCTACGCCGGCAGGACCTGGGCCGGGCCGAGTTCCTGCGCGAGGTTTGGCGCTGGAAGGAGCGGTGAGGGGACACCGGGGACCTTGGGGACACCTCGGGGACACCTTGGGGACGTCCCCGGGGGTGGCCCCGCGGTGTCACCGCCCTGTCCCCCCCAGGCACGGGGACGAGATCCTGCAGCAGCTGCGCGCGCTCGGGGCCTCGCTGGACTGGAGCCGCTGCGCCTTCACCATGGACCCCGTCAGTGTCCCCAGCTGTCCCCAAGTGTCCCCAGGGGTCCCCAGGGGTCACTGGGCTGTCCCCAAGGGTCACTGGGCTGTCCCCAGGGGTCCCCAGGGGTCACTGGGCTGTCCCTAGCTGTCCCCAAAGTGTCCCCAGGGGTCACTGGGCTGTCCCCAAGGGTCACTGGGCTGTCCCTAAGTGTCCCCAAGTGTCCTAACGCTCCCCAGGTGTTCCAATCTGGCCCCAAAGTGTTCCCAACTATCTCTGAAGCATCCCAGAATTGTCCCCAAGCTGTCCCCAAACTGTCCCCAGGGGTCACTGGGCTGTCCCCAAGGGTCACTGGGCTGTCCCTGAGTGTCCCCAAGTGTCCTGGCTGTCCCCAGGTGTTCCAGTCTGGCCCTAAAGCATTCCTAACTATCCCCGAAGCATCCCACAATTGTCCCCAGGGTGTCCCCAAACTGTCCCCAAGTGTCCCCAGCTGTCCCCAAACTGTCCCCAGGGGTCACTGAGCTGTCCCTAAGTGTCCCCAAGTGTCCCCAGGCCATCGTGGAGCGCTGGCTGTGGCAGCACCGGGGGCTGTGCCCGATGTCCCCAGGGATGTCCCCAATGTCCCCAATGTGTCCCCACTGTCCCCAGGCCATCATGGAGCGCTGGCTGTGGCAGCACCGGGGGCTGTGCCCGATGTCCCCAGGGATGTCCCCAATGTCCCCAATGTGTCCCCACTGTCCCCAGGCCATCATGGAGCGCTGGCTGTGGCAGCACCGGGGGCTGTCCCTGATGTCCCCAGGGATGTCCCCAATGTGTCCCCACTGTCCCCAATGTCCCCAATGTGTCCCCACTGTCCCCAGGCCATCGTGGAGCGCTGGCTGTGGCAGCAGCGCCGGCTACGCCGGCAGGACCTGGGCCGGGCCGAGTTCCTGCGCGAGGTTTGGCGCTGGAAGGAGCGGTGAGGGGACACCGGGGACCTTGGGGACACCTCGGGGACACCTCGGGGACACCTTGGGGACGTCCCCGGGGGTGGCCCCGCGGTGTCACCGCCCTGTCCCCCCCAGGCACGGGGACGAGATCCTGCAGCAGCTGCGCGCGCTCGGGGCCTCGCTGGACTGGAGCCGCTGCGCCTTCACCATGGACCCCGTCAGTGTCCCCAGCTGTCCCCAAGTGTCCCCAGGGGTCCCCAGGGGTCACTGGGCTGTCCCCAAGGGTCACTGGGCTGTCCCCAGGGGTCCCCAGGGGTCACTGGGCTGTCCCTAGCTGTCCCCAAAGTGTCCCCAGGGGTCACTGGGCTGTCCCCAGATGTCCCCAAGAGTCACTAAGGGTCACTGAGCTGTCCCTAAGTGTCCCCAAGTGTCCTAACGCTCCCCAGGTGTTCCAATCTGGCCCCAAAGTGTTCCCAACTATCTCTGAAGCATCCCAGAATTGTCCCCAAGCTGTCCCCAAACTGTCCCCAGTGGTCACTGGGCTGTCCCCAAGGGTCACTGGGCTGTCCCTGAGTGTCCCCAAGTGTCCTGGCTGTCCCCAGGTGTTCCAGTCTGGCCCTAAAGCATTCCTAACTATCCCCGAAGCATCCCACAATTGTCCCCAGGGTGTCCCCAAACTGTCCCCAAGTGTCCCCAGCTGTCCCCAAACTGTCCCCAGGGGTCACTGGGCTGTCCCCAAGGGTCACTGGGCTGTCCCTGAGTGTCCCCAAGTGTCCTGGCCGTCCCCAGGAGTTCCAATCTGGCCCCAAAGTGTTCCCAACTGTCCCCAAATCATCCCAAGATTGTCCCCAAATTGTCACCAGACTTTCCCCAACTGTCCCCAAGGGTCATTGAGCTGTCCCCAAAGTGTCCCCAAGGGTCCCCAGCTGTCCCCAAGTGTCCTCTAATCTGCCCCAACAGTGTTCCCAACTGTCCCCAAAGCATCCCAAGATTGCCATCAGCCTGTCCCCAAGTGTCCCCAGGGTGTCCCCAAGTGTCCCCAGAGTGCCCCAAACCTCCCGGAATTCCCCCAAACTTGTCCCCAACGCTCCTGAACTCCCCTGTACTGTCCCCAAACCTCCCCGAGCTGTCCCCAACCCTCCCCGAGCTGTCCCCAAAGTGTCCCCAGAGTGTCCCCAAGCGTCCCCTCCGTGTCCCCAGGGCTTCTCCCGCGCTGTCACCGAGGCCTTCGTGCGGCTCTTCCGGGCGGGGCTGATCCGGCGCGACCAGCGGGTGGTGACGTGGAGCTGCGCCCTGCGCTCGGCGCTGGCCGACATCGAGGTGTCCCCAACGTCCCCAAATGTCCCCAAGGGTGTCCCCTGGGGGCTCTGACCCAGTCTGGCTGACGTCGAGGTGTCCCCAGTGTCCCCAATGTCCCCAAATGTCCCCAAGGGTGTCCCCAATGTCCCCAGTGTCCCCAGTGTGACGTGGAGCTGCGCCCTGCGCTCGGCGCTGGCCGACGTCGAGGTGTCCCCAATGTCCCCAAATGTCCCCAAGGGTGTCCCCTGGGGGCTCTGACCCGGCCTGGCCGACGTCGAGGTGTCCCCAATGTCCCCAAATGTCCCCAAGGGTGTCCCCAATGTCCCCAATGTCCCCAGTGTGACCTGGAGCTGCGCCCTGCGCTCGGCGCTGGCTGACATCGAGGTGTCCCCAATGTCCCCAAGGGTGTCCCCAATGTCCCCAAAGGTGTCCCCAGGGTCCCTGACCCGCCCTGCCCCCCCAGGTGGAGCCCCGTGTCCTGACGGGCCCCACGGCGCTGAATGTCCCCAACTGTCCCCACCCCGTCACCTTCGGCGTCCTCGTCACCTTCGCCTACCCCGTGGAGGGGGACGACGGTGGGTGGCACTGGGGACACTGGGGGTGGCACTGGGGACATCGAGGGTGGCACTGGGACGACGGTGGGTGGCACTGGGGACATCCAGGGTGGCACTGGGGACACTGGGGGTGGCACTGGGGACACTGAGTGTGGCACTGAGGACATCGAGGGTGACACTGGGGACACTGGGGGTGGCACTGGGGACATCGAGGGTGGCACTGGGGACATCGAGGGTGGCACTGGGGACATCGAGGGTGGCACTGGGGACATCGAGGGTGGCACTGGGGACATCGAGGGTGGCACTGGGGACATCGAGGGTGGCACTGGGGACATCGAGGGTGGCACTGGGGACATCGAGGGTGGCACTGGGGACATCGAGGGTGGCACTGGGGACATCGAGGGTGGCACTGGGGACATCGAGGGTGGCACTGGGGACATCGAGGGTGGCACTGGGGACATCGAGGGTGGCACTGGGGACATCGAGGGTGGCACTGGGGACATCGAGGGTGGCACTGGGGACATCGAGGGTGGCACTGGGGACAATCCAGGTGGCACTGGGGACACTGGGGGTAGCACTGGGGACACTGGGGGTGGCACTGGGACACTGAGGGTGGCACTGGGGACATTCCAGGGTGGCACTGGGGACAGTCCACGTGGCACTGGGGACAGTGGGGGTGGCACTGGGGACAGTGGGGGTGGCACTGGGACACTGAGTGTGGCACTGGGGACAATCCAGGTGGCACTGGGGACATTCCAGGGTGGCACTGGGGACAATCCAGGTGGCACTGGGGACATCCAGGGTGGCACTGGGGACATCGAGGGTGGCACTGGGACAGTGAGGGTGGCACTGGGGACAGCTGGGTGGCACTGGGGACATCGAGGGTGGCATTGGGACACTGGGGGTGGCACTGGGGACACTGGGGGTGGCACTGGGGACATTCCAGGGTGGCTTTGGTGGCACCTGGGAGTGGCTTTGGGGAGGGGGTTCAGGGCTCCTGTCCTTGGCTGTCACCTGAGCGTCCCCCGAGTGTCACCTGTGCCCTGAGTGTCACCTGGCTGTCACGTGTGTGTCACCTGCGTCCCAGGTGTCACCTGGGTGTCCCCTGAGTGTCCCCGCTGTCCCCAGGGCTGGAGGTGCCCGTGGCCACCACGCGCCCTGAGACGCTCTTCGGGGACGTGGCCGTGGCCGTGCACCCGCAGGACCCACGCTACCAGGTGGGGGCGGGGCCTGGGGGGCGGGNNNNATGCCCCCAGTGTCCCTGGAGGGGCGGGGTTTTATCTGGAGGGGCGGGGCTTCACCTGGAGGGGTGGGGCTTTATCTGGAGGGGCGGGGCTTCACTTGGTGGCACTCACCTGGAGAGGTGTGGCTTCACCTGGAAGGGCAGGGCTTCACTTGGATGGGCTCACCTGGAGGGGTGTGGTTTTGCCTGGAGGGGTGGGGCATCATGTGGAGGGGCGTGGTTTTGCCCGAAGGGGTGGGGCTTCACCTGAAGGGAGGGGCTTCACCTGGGTGGCCGTGGTCTCACCTGGAGGGGTGGGGCTTCACCTGAAGGGAGGGGCTTCACCTGGGGGGCCGTGGTCTCACCTGGAGGGGCGGGGCTTCACCTGGAGGGGTGTAGCCTCATCTGGTGGGCGTGGTTTCACCTGGATGGGTGGGGTCTCACCTGGAGGGATTCACCTAAATGGGCAGGGCTTCACCTGGAGGGGCGTGGCCTCACCTGGGGGCTCTAGATGAGTGTGGCCTCACCTGGAGGGGCGGGGCTTCACCTGGAGGGGTGTAGTCTCACCTGGTGGGCGTGGTTTCACCTGGAGGGTGGGGTCTGACCTGAGGGCTGGGCCTTGGCGACCCCAAAATTTATTGGAATTGTGGGTGTGGCTTGTGGGTGTGAGAGGGGCATGGCTTCCCTGCAGAGCAGCCATTGGCTGCCCAGATTTAGCCCCTCCCTTTTATGAGTATCCATATAAGGGCAAAAAGGCGGGGCTTGTGGTGAAGGGGGTGGAGCTTCATTGCTGCAGGTGGAGCTTTGCTGATGTAAACAGCCATGGGGGCGTGGCCACTGGCTGGGTGGGGCCATCTCACAGCCGGGCAGGGATTGGTCTGGAGTGGCTCCACCCACAAAGGGGCGGGGCTTCCCCGGAGGGAGGCTCTTAAAGGGCTGGTGTGTGTTGGGCGTGGTCGGGGGGCGTGTCCCGCGCTGACCCCGCCCCCTCAGCACCTGCAGGGCCGGCGCGTGCGGCACCCGTTCAGCGGGGCCCTGCTGCCCGTGGTGGGAGACCCCAGCGTGCAGCCCCAGCTGGGGGTGACAGCAGGTGACCCAGGTGTGACCTGGGTGTGTCCCTGTCCCCAGGGGCGGTGAAGGTGACCCCCGGGCACAGCCCCCAGGACCTGTGGGTGACACTGGGTGACAATGGGTGACAGTAGGTGTGACCCAGGTGTGACCCAGGTGTGTCCCTGTCCCCAGGGGCGGTGAAGGTGACCCCCGGGCACAGCCCCCAGGACCTGGCGCTGGCCCGTGCCCACGCGCTGCCGCTGCTCTCGGTCATCGCCGACGACGGCACCTTGTGTCCCCCGGGGGGGGGGTGGCTGCAGGTACGGCCACCGTGTCCCCAGGTGTCCCCAAACAGCCCCAAAGTGTCCCCAAAAATGGCCCAAACCTGCCCCAAAAATGGCCTCAAACTGTCCCCAAACAGGCTACACACTGTCCCCTAAGTGTCCCCAAATGGCCCCAAAAATGGCCCCAAAGTGTCCCCAAACTGTCCCCAAATTGTCCCCAAAAATGGCCCCAAACTGTCCCCAAATTGTCCCCAAAAATGGCCCCCAAAAATGGCCCCAAACTGTCCCCAAAAATGGCCTCAAACTGGCCACACACTGTCCCCTAAGTGTCCCCAAACAGCCCCAAACTGTCCCCAAAGTGTCCCCAAAAATGACCCCAAAAATGGCCCCAAATTGTCCCCAAAAATGGCCCCAAAGTGTCCCCAAATTTTCCCCAATCTGTCCCCAAAAATGGCCCCAGGTGGCCCCAAACATGTCCCCGAACTTGGCCCATGTCCCCAGCCCAGTCTCAATGTCCCCAATGTCCCCACCCTCGATGTCCCCAATCCTCCAATGTCCCCGCATGGTCCCCAATGTCCCCAATCCCCTTGCTGTCCCTCAGTGTCCCCGCTGTCCCCGCTGTCCCCTCGGTGTCCCTGCTGTCCCCTCAGTGTCCCCGCTGTCCCTCAGTGTCCCCGCTGTCCCCAGGGTGTCCCCAGGTTCGAGGCCCGTGCCCGGGTGGTGGCAGCGCTGGCGCAGCGGGGGCTGCTCCGGGGGGTGCAGGACCACGCCATGACCCTGCCCCTGTGCAGGTAACGGTGTCCCCAATGTCCCCAATGTCCCCAAGTGTCCCCAATGTCCCCAGTGTCCCTGTCCCAAGTGTCCCTAATGTCCCCAGTGTCCCCAGTGTCCCCAGTGTCCCCAATGTCCCCAATGTCCCCAAGGTGTGAGGGGTTCAGATGGGGGAGGGGTCTTAAGTGTGGGGGCGGGGTTTGAGCTGTGCTGGGCGTGTCCCAGGTGTGATGGGTGGAGCTTCAGGTGTTGTGGGTGGGGCCTCAGCTGTGGTAGGTGGAGTCTCTGCTTTGGGGGCGGGGTCTCAGCTGAGGTGGGTGTGTCCCAGGTATTGGGGCGGGGTTTCGGTTGCTGGGGGTGGAGTCTCTGCTTTGGGGGCGGGGTCTCAGCTGAGGTGGGCGTGTCTTCCACTATTGGGGGTGGAGTCTCATAATGGGCGTGTCCCCACTGCGGGGGGCGTGTCCCAGCAGTGCTGGGCGTGTCCCAGGCGTTGGGGACAGGGTCTCAGCTCTGGTGGGCGTGGCCTCGTGTTGGGGGCGGGCTCTCAGCGCCTCTGGGCGTGTCCTGGGTGTTATGGGCGGGGTCTCAGCTCTGGTGGGCGTGGCCTCATGTGTGGGGGGCGGGCTCTCAGCGCCTCTGGGCGTGTCCCAGCGGTGCTGGGCGTGTCCTGGGTGTTATGGGCGGGGTCTCAGCTCTGGTGGGCGTGGCCTCATGTATGGGGGGCGGGCTCTCAGCGCCTCTGGGCGTGTCCCAGCGGTGCTGGGCGTGTCCCCAAAGTCCCCAAACCCCTCCCCCGCAGGGACTGGTGCCTGTCCCGCCAGCTCTGGTGGGGCCACCGGGTCCCCGCCTACCAGGTGCGGGGTGGCTCCGCCCCCGCGTGTCCCCAGGAGAGGGGTCCCAAAAAAATCTGGGGAAAATTGTGATTTTTTTGGCTTTTTTTGGTGGTTTTCTTGAGGGTTTTTTTGAGGGTTTTTAGGTTTTTTTGGGGGGTTAAGTGTGAAATTTGCCCCCCCAGGAGCTGCACCTGCAGCAAGGTGAGACTGAGGGGGGGGTCCCGAAATCAGCTCTGGTGGGCGTGGCCTCGTGTTGGGGGCGGGCTCTCAGCGCCTCTGGGCGTGTCCTGGGTGTTATGGGCGGGGTCTCAGCTCTGGTGGGCGTGGCCTCATGTATGGGGGGCGGGCTCTCAGCGCCTCTGGGCGTGTCCCAGCGGTGCTGGGCGTGTCCCCAAAGTCCCCAAACCCCTCCCCCGCAGGGACTGGTGCCTGTCCCGCCAGCTCTGGTGGGGCCACCGGGTCCCCGCCTACCAGGTGCGGGGTGGCTCCGCCCCCGCGTGTCCCCAGGAGGGTCCCCAAGGTCCCCAAGGTCCCCAAGGCGCCGAGGGGGAGGGGCCGTGGTTCGTGGGGCGGAGCGAGGCCGAGGCGCGGGCGGCGGCCGCGGGGGCCCTGGGCTGCGCCCCCCAGGAGCTGCACCTGCAGCAAGGTGAGACTTGGGGGGGGGGGTCCTAAAATTTGGGGAAGGGGTCCCAAAAAAATCTGGGGAAAATTGTGATTTTTTTGGCTTTTTTTGGTGGTTTTCTTGAGGGTTTTTTTGAGGGTTTTTAGGTTTTTTTGGGGGGTTAAGTGTGAAATTTGCCCCCCCAGGAGCTGCACCTGCAGCAAGGTGAGACTGAGGGGGGGGTCCCGAAATTGGGGGGGGTCCCAAAAAAATCTGGGGAAAATTCTGATTTTTTTGGGTTTTTTTGGGTTTTGTTTTGTTGTGTTTTGTTTTTTTTTTATTCAAAAGCAATATTTGATGACATTTGGTGCCACTGGTGGCACTGCTGTCCCCAGACCCTAACGTTTTGGGGTCCCCTGGTGACATTTGGTAGCATTTGGTGACATTTGGTGGCACTGCTGTCCCCAGACCCCGGAGTTTTGGGGTCCCCTGGGGGGGTTCAGGGTCTCTCAGTGACATTTGGTGACATTTGGTGGCACTGCTGTCCCCAGACCCCGACGTTTTGGGGTCCCCTGGGGGGGTTCAGGGTCTCTCAGTGACATTGGGTGACATTTGGTGGCACTTGGTGACATTGGGTGGCACTGCTGTCCCCAGACCCTGACGTTTTGGGGTCCCCTGGTGACATTTGGTGGCATTTGGTGACATTTGGTGGCACTGCTGTCCCCAGACCCCGATGTTTTGGGGTCCCCTGGTGACATTGGGTGGCACTGCTGTCCCCAGACCCTGACGTTTTGGGGTCCCCTGGTGACATTTGGTGGCACTGCTGTCCCCAGACCCCGGCGTTTTGGGGTCCCCTGGTGACATTTGGTGACATTTGGTGACATTTGGTGACATTTGGTGACATTTGGTGACATTTGGTGACATTTGGTGACATTTGGTGACATTTGGTGACATTTGGTGACATTTGGTGACATTTGGTGACATTTGGTGACATTTGGTGACATTTGGTGACATTTGGTGACATTTGGTGACATTTGGTGGCACTGCTGTCCCCAGACCCCGACGTTTTGGACACCTGGTTCTCCTCCGCCCTCTTCCCCTTCGCCGCCCTGGGCTGGCCCGAGCAGGTGAGACCCCGATGTCCCCAAGGTCCCCTCAGTGTCCCCAAGGTCCCCTCAGTGTCCCCAAGTGTCCCTGATGTCCCCTCAATGTCCCCCCATGTCCTTCTGGTGTCCCTAAATGTCCCTCAATATCACCGATGTCCCTGGCAGGTTCCCAAGCTGGGGATGTCACCCTTGTGTCCCCTCAGTGTCCCCTCAGTGTCCCCAATGTCCCCTCAGCATCTCCAATGTCTCTTTGTGTCCCCTGTGTCCCCCCAGTGCCCCTTTGTGTCCCCTCAGTGTCCCTTCAATATCCTCAATGTCCCTTTGTGTCCCCTCAGTGTCCCCTCAGTGCCCTTTTGTGTCCCCTCAGTGTCCCTTCAATGTCTCCAATGTCCCCTCAGTGTCCCCAATATCCTGTGTCCCCTCAGTGTCCCCAATATCCTTTTGTGTCTCCTGCGTCCCCTCAGTGTCCCCTCAGTGCCCCCTCAGTGTCCCCAATGTCCCCTCAGTGTCCCCAATGTCCTCTCTGTCCCTCAGTGTCCCCAATGTCCCCTCAGTGTCCCCTCAGTGTCCCCAATGTCCTCTCTGTCCCTCAGTGTCCCCAATGTCCCCTCAGTGTCCCCTCAGTGTCCCCAATGTCCTCTCTGTCCCTCAGTGTCCCCAATGTCCCCTCAGTGTCCCCTCAGTGTCCCCAATGTCCTCTCTGTCCCTCAGTGTCCCCAATGTCCCCTCAGTGTCCCCTCAGTGTCCCCAATGTCCTCTCTGTCCCTCAGTGTCCCCAATGTCCCCTCAGTGTCCCCTCAGTGTCCCCAATGTCCTCTCTGTCCCTCAGTGTCCCCAATGTCCCCTCAATGTCCCTTTGTGTCCCCTGTGTCCGTCACCAATGTCCCTCAGTGTCCCTTTTGTCCCCAGAGCCCCGATCTGGCCCGTTTTTACCCCAATTCCGTGCTGGTGACCTCCTGCTTTTCTGGGTGACCCAGATGGCCCTGCTGGGCCACCAGTGCCACCCCTGTGTCCCCTCAGTGTCCCCTCAGTGTCCCCAATGTCCCCTCAGTGTCCTCAATGTCCCCTCAATGTCCCCTCATGTCCCAGACCCCAATCTTTACCATTTTTACCCCAATTCTGTGCTGGTGACCTCCTGCTCTTCTGGGTGACCCAGATGGCCCTGCTGGGCCACCAGTGCCACCCCCGTGTCCTTCTGATGTCCCTCAATGTCCTCTCAGTGTCCCCAGTGTCCCCTCAGTGTCCCCAATGTCCCTCAGTGTCCCTTTTGTCCCCAGAGCCCCGATCTGGCCCGTTTTTACCCCAATTCCGTGCTGGTGACCTCCTGCTTTTCTGGGTGACCCAGATGGCCCTGCTGGGCCACCAGTGCCACCCCTGTGTCCCCTCAGTGTCCCCTCAGTGTCCCCAATGTCCCTTTTGTCCCCAGAGCCCCGATCTGGCCCGTTTTTACCCCAATTCCGTGCTGGTGACAGGCAGTGACCTCCTGTTCTTCTGGGTGGCCCGGATGGCCATGCTGGGCCAGCAGCTCACGGGACAGCTGCCCTTCTCACAGGTCACTGTCCCCGAGGGTCCCCTGGGGTCCCCAAGTGTCCCCAGATGTTCCCAAGGGTCCCCAGATGTCCCCAGGGGTCCCAAAATGTTCCAAAGGTCCCAAAATCCCCCAGTTCCCAGGGGTTGGGTTGGGTTTTGGGGTTTCTCGTTGTGTTCTTGGTGTCCCCAAGGGTCCCCAGGGGTCCCCAAATGTCCCCAAGGGTCCCAAAATCCCCCAATTCCCAGGGGTTTGCTCAGGTTTCGGGGTTTCTCGTTGTGTTCTTGGTGTCCCCAAGGGTCCTATGGATGTCCCCAAGTGTCCCCAGGGGTCCCCAAGTATCCCAAGACGTCCCCAAGGGTCCCCAAAATCCCCCAGTTCCCAGGGGTTGGGTTGGGTTTTGGGTTTTCTCGTTGTGTTCTTGGTGTCCCCAAGGGTCCCCAGGGGTCACCAGGGGTCCCCAAGATGTCTCCAGGGGTCCCCAGCTGTCCCCAAGTGTCCCCAAGGGTCCCAAAATGTCCCCAAGGGTGCCAAAATTCCCAATTCCCAGGGGTTGGGTTGGGTTTTGGGGTTTCTCGTTGTGTTCTTGGTGTCCCCAAGTGTCCCCAGTGGTCCCCAAGGTTTCCCAAGGGTCCCCAGGGCTCCCCAAGTGTCCCCAGATGTCCCCAAGTGTCCCCAAGGGTCCCCAGGGGTCCCAAAATGTCCCCAAGGGTGCCAAAATCCCCCAATTCCCAGAGGTTTGGTTGGGTTTTGGGGTTTCTCGTTGTGTTCTTGGTGTCCCCAGCTGTCCCCAAGGATCCTCAACGGTCCCCAGCTGTCCCCAAGTGTCCCCGAGTGTCCCTGAGGGTCCCCAAGGGTCCTCAAGTGTCTCCAGGGGTCCCAAAATGTCCCCAAGGGTCCCCAAAATCCCCCAGTTCCCAGAGGTTTGGTCGGGTTTCAGGGTTTCTCCTTGTGTTCTTGGTGTCCCCAAGGGTCCTATGGATGTCCCCAAGTGTCCCCAGGGGTCCCAAAATGTTCCAAAGGTTCCCCAAGGGTCCCCAAAATCCCCCAGTTCCCAGGGGTTGGGTTGGGTTTTGGGTTTTCTCGTTGTGTTCTTGGTGTCCCCAAGGGTCCCCAGCTGTCCCCAGGGGTCACCAGGGGTCCCCAAGATGTCCCCAGGGGTCCCCAAGATGTCCCCAAGAGTCCCTGAGGGTCCTCAAGTGTCCCCAGGGGTCACCAGGGGTCCCCAAGTGTCCCCAGGGGTCCCCAAGTGTCCCTTACCACTTTCCTGGGGGTCCCCTGTCCCCATTTCCGTGTCCCTTTGGGTGTCCCTGTCCCAATTTTTGGGGTCCCCCATCCCCATTTTGGGGTTCCCATCCCCACTTTGGGGTCCCCATCCCCATTTTTGGGGTCCCCGATCCCATTTTTGGGGTCCCCATCCCCGTTTTTGGGGTCCCCCAGGTGCTGCTGCACGCTCTGGTCCGGGACCCCCAGGGCCGCAAGATGAGCAAATCCCTGGGGAACGTCATCGACCCCCGCGACGTCATCGGGGGGGCCACGCTGCAGGTACCCCAAACCCCCAGACCCAAATCCCTGAGAG